ACAAATACCTTGGTATCTTGCTTGATGATTGTCTTTCTTTTAAACTTCATGTCAATAACCTGCTTAAAAAACTGAGGGTTAGACTAGGTTTCTTTTTCAGAAACAAGTCCTGTTTCTCGCTTGAGGCCAGGAAAAGGCTAGTCTCTGTGACCTTTTTACCTGTGCTGGACTATGGTGATTTGATCTATATGAATGCACCTGCCAATTGCCTGAACAAGTTAGATGTCGCCTATTACAGCGCACTGAGATTTGTCACAAATTGTAAAGCACTTACTCATCACTGTACACTGTATGCCAAGGCAGGTTTGCCATCACTTACTGTAAATAGGGTCAGTCATTGGTACACGTTTATTCATAAAGCTTTGTTGGGTAAACTCCCGTATTATATCTGCTCTCTGATAACACAGAGAGTTGCAAGCAGCTATTGTCTGAGATCGCATGATGTAGTATTGTTAGATGTGCCAAGAGCAAGGACTGTCTTAGGTAAGACAGCTTTTATGTGCGCAGCTCCACTTGCTTGGAACAATCTTCAGCAAGAATTGAAACTGAGCAATCTCATTCCTCTGCATGTTTTTAAAGCTAGGCTAAATGAAATGCTCGTTGATACTATGGGCACTTGTAAATGTCTATAACTATGTAAATGTATCCTGTAAATATAATGTATGATGTCCTTTATTGTTTTATGTTTCATGTGGAACCTATATGCTGCAGGTCTCCCTTGAAAAAGAGACCTATGATCTCAATGGGACCAATCTGATTAAATAAAGGTTTGAAATTAAATTAAATGAAATGAGTGACGTAACTTCATCCTGAAAATCTCAGTGAGCCAGTATAAGTGTAAATATGGAGTTTGGGCGCTCTTGGTCACTTTCTGATGGACATTACCTCTCTCAAAGTCCTTGAGGGTCTCTGCTTGGAAGTCCTTGAACAGCTCGGACCTGAATCTCTTCTCCAAACCGTAGCTGTAGTATCTGAAGAGACACTCCAGCCCGTACCTGCAGATGAGGGGAACAAATATTGAACGGCGCTGTGAAAACAAAGACAAGTAAACACACCCTGCATGTAAATGTTTTGTTTTTACGGGGAGGATGTTTTGTGATACAACTGTAAGCAGCTATTTTCCCACATGTGGCGCCAACGGCTCAGAACAGTAGGAGCATTGTCTCACTGATTATTATTAGCTTTGCATGTCTCTTTAATTAAAGAAGAACAGGACTGACAAGTGAATAGTCTGATAAAGTCAACATAGATAGCTGATGGTAGTAACACTGTCTGCACACGCCCTGTCCCTCCCAATTAGAATGTGGGTTTGGCCGGTGTGACAAGATTCCTTCTGGCAGATAAACAACTGTGTGACATCGAGGCAGCCGCCCCTCCCGAACGCTGACCCTCTGCTGTCGAATAACAGTGGTCAAAAACTGCTTCTGCTTCTAACACAGAGGGAGGTGTAATGATCTGCAATTTAAACATTTGGGGAAGCAGTCAAGAGTATTTGTTTTAGACACCAACATGTGAGTAGTGCATGTTGTAATTAGAATGTTTTGACCCCTTTACTTTGCCATCAGACAAAGGCTCTAAAGCTGTTCTGAGCTCTCTTCAAAGCCACCGGGCTCATTGCCAAACAGTCATTTTACCTCACAGAATACAAGAGTTGCTGCTCTCTCATGGCGCTTTTCCACTGCAACACGTAGCAAGTTTTTTTGTGCTTTTCCACTCGGGATAGTTCCGGCTCAGGGCTACTTTTTCCCCTTTTTTCTGGCCCTCAAATCGAGGTTCTTACCGAGCTGAATATGCTACACTAGTGACGTAAACACTCTCGTCTGCTGAATGGTCTCAGAGAATCGCTTCATTTTCTACTGAACTTCAAACTATGGATTTGTACTTTATACAACACCGGTCACAACTATCCCTTTAACATTTAAACATCTATACATTCTCACCTGTAGTTGTCTTTGGCATCTTCCAGAGCATGCAGTTTGAACTCCTCATACATCTTCCTGTTGAAGTTGTCCCTCAGGAAGAAGGACCAGAACCTGAACAGCGTGTTCATCTCCCCCGACTGACCGACCCCCAGACGCTTCCTCTCTGCAAAAACATCGATTCAGTCACCGGAGAGCACAGAGAAACAGCCTCGTCTTCAATACACAGGCGGTCACTAGATGATCACCAGTACATGTGGTGATCATCAGAGTCTGTACACTCTAAAAACCAATCTATACACTGCATGGTCTTCTTTATTTGTACATGTGTTTATAACTATACATGTGTTTTTCCCCTCCTTGAAGCACACTTAACTTTGATTCGAAAAAAAGGTGATTACTTACAAGATGCTACATAAACTCAATTTCTTTCTAGGTACTATATTCATTTACTTACTATGGTCACATATACACTAACTTAGTAATGGTCATACTATAACTTACTTAGTGGCTAGGTCATACATACACTTACTTACCTACTAGGTCATATATAGCCTCACTTATTTACTTACTAAGTCACCTATACACGTACTTCCATACTTACTTATTAATATATACACTTACTTACTAGGTAGTATATACAGCAACTTACTTAATTACAATAAATACATATATAATATATTTAATGCTCGTTCAGTGTAAACCTCCCTAAACGTGAGAGCATGTGAGGGAGTTTGTCCCGTACCATTAAGACAGCGGCGGAGGTACTTGTGGTATCCCTGCTGAGTGAAGCCGTTGTCCCGCAGCAGATCGTGGGATGGATGCCAGAATTTGGGCAGAGAGTGGGGGGTGCAGCCGTAACTTCCTGTCAGCGGAGCCCCTTCTGACGGGGAGGCGTTGGAGCTGCTGTAAGAGAAGGAACGGAGACGTTTCAGTGACATAGTTTATATTCTAGGATTGCTCTAAGGTCAAGTTTATTAGTCTCACTTCTCTAATCTATCAAAGCTTATTTTTGTTTATTGTTTTATTAAACCGGACTATTTATTACCCTGTAGTCAACACCAGCTGACATGTATTATGATTATTTTTATTATTTTACTAATGTGTGTTTAAGATAGCTTACTCTTTATATCGCATGCCTCTTTTACCTGATATGCCCCTTTCGCTGTAACACTGAACATTTTCAGGAATTCAGATTCAGATTAATCAATAGGTCGACTGGAATGAAATTGTTAGTCATTTATAAAGAGGATTGCAAAATATATTTACAATCTCTAGTAGGGCTGCTCGATTATGGCAAAAATCATAATCTCGATTATTTGGGTCAATAATTGATATCATGATTATTAAAAACGGTTATCCATTTACTTTGAAAACATCAATTTATTGGGGAAAAAAATATGAACAGTATGTTTTTAACAGTTGATAACCCTGAACTTTAAGTATAATTCAACTGAAAAAACAATAAAAAAATTATATATATATATATTATATTTTTATTTCGATGTTGTTTTCATAATCGTTGCAAGCCAAAGAATTGAGCAGCCCTAATTTCTAGCCCTTAAAACATGAGGATTAGGTGCTCTTCTATCTTTTCTATTATTGTAAATTGAATATTTGTAGGTTTCTGACAACACAAGACATTTGACTATCCTGCGATAACTGAACATGAAAAATATCTTAGGAAATCGTTACTAAGCGTTAAATATTAAAAGTCTTTATATTTTTTTAAATAAATAACCACTATCTTCCTGAATTAAGAGGTAATATTGGTATATTGTCAAAGAAACCCTGATATTGTGATGATAAGGCCACAGTCAAAGAAACAGGTTTATAAGGTTAACATCCGCTACAGTTCAGCATCTTTACAGTGGTGTAGGAAAACGAGTAGTGGGACCTGATGGACGTAGAGCGGGGCCGGTGCTCCCGGGAGTCCATCACCCAGCCGATGTGAGCTTCCTGAGGCGGGTTCGAACTATGACGAGTCTTCTTCTTCCTCGGCGTCTGCTCCAGGGAAAAGAGATTCATGTGTTACAAAGAAATGTTTACTAAGACGGGACATCATTTCTACTCTTTCAGCTCCAGAATGTCTTCTGATAACTGGGATTCTGGGACGTATGTCAAGTTGAGTTGGCATTATTGATGGTTTGTTATAATTTAGAGACAGATAAAACAAATGCTTTATTATTATTATTATTGTTATTATTATTAGGGGTTTCTCTATCTGGCAAGACCTCTTTCATGCACATACTCAAAGTGGTGCAGAAGCCTCAACCATTTTAATTCCGGTATTTAATTTAAGCCCTTTTTGCTCTTATATGGGCGGGAGTGGAAGAGGGTAAGGCATTTTTGTCTCCTTATGTAAGTTGACTGCTCATACTTGGTATTTAGAATGATGAAACGAGCCCTTCAAACTGATACTTGTGAAATGTTGTCTGACCCTTTGTAACCATGTAAACAAACACATGTGAAACAGATAACTGGTCTGCAGCGTGTGCCAGGGGGGATACGCAAAGAGAGAGAGAGAGTCTGTAGTCTGGAGCCTGATGTCAGAACTGCTCAAACAAAAGCTGTGAAATATAAATTGGATAGCATGGAAGTATTGTCAACGGGCTTTAAACTGGAATAATTTGATGAATAGTTGGACTTCATCATGGAGCAAATTTCCATAATAATAGTGCTAATTCAATGTTTCACAATAAGTTGACTCGATGTGTATAAACAAAAACATTACTGCCGTATTCATGCCTGATTAGATGTTATTAGTGTGTTGATGGAGCAGCTACAATGTTAGAATAGCCCTGATCGATCCCAACTCCATTCAGGAAACAAACATGTAAATGTGTTTTGCTTGTCCTTTGCGGAAAGAGACTTGAAAAAGTGTTTAATTCAGACTTTGGCAACATTTTGTTCAACTTATTGCAATTAAATAACAGCAAAAACGGTTTGATTTGGGTTAAATCCTCATTAATAAAACAGATACCGTAAGCCAAAGTTGAGCGAGGAAATGTTCCTGCCGATTTGTATGAACACGGCATTACATCTACGATCTCCGACCGCAACACGTGGAGAGAGAGAGATCTGACCTGTCCGTCGATGGTGCCGCTCTCCTTCATGACGGGGTAGAAGCGAGGCGTCTTGCTGGGGTCCTGGCGCCCGGGGGTGCGAGGCGTTTTGGGGGTGCGGGGTTGGTGAGCGACGGGTGACTCTGGGACCGTTGCAGGAAGAGATCGAGCCATCTCTGCTCCACTGTCCACTGAGAACACACAATTAAAACAATAATATTTATATTAATATATTTCTTCCCATGGTCATGCATGTGAGGCCCTTTGCATTACATTACAAAGAGCAAACGCGCTATAGTTTAAGACTGATTGAAGTCAATAACTGTTACAACACTAATATTATCGATAATGAGGACTACCAGGTTTTCGGCATCATTTGGCATCTGAATGTTTTTTTTTAAAAGAGGGTTAAAGAACAGGGGTTTAACTAAAGCAAATATGTCAGAATGTTAATAAACAACAACAATTCATAATTATTAAACACTAGTTAAATAAATATGATATCATATGTGTGGTTAAAATACAGCTAGCAGGAAGCTCAGCTCCACAAACCCACCTGGAAACAGAGGAGGCGAGATGTCCTGATTCGGCTCGACGGGCACTTTGGGGGCGAGAGTTTCAAACTCGTCTTTGCTGATGACGTTCAGCTTCTTAAAGCTCTCCACTTCCTGCAGGGGGACACACACAAACACAATTCATGAATCTGCCATACTAGTTGAAGCTAAAGCACCTGGAAAAACTGAGTTCACATGAAATACTTTATTTATAATATCTTATTTAATTCTAACTATTCTATTAAAAAACATTTGTAAATGCACCCATGTTGTATTTTTTTTTAAATAATATTCTTTTAGTGGTGAAAACTAATATTAATTAAATGCTGTAGTTTGAAACCAACAGAAAAGGTAAATGTATTTGAGACCAAAAAGAAATAGTTGCTTTTATTAAAAGATGATGAGTTTATTTGAATAAGAAGTGTTGATGCTGATAAACTCCAAATTGAACTCTATTATTAGTCTATTTTATTGCATGATGTCATTAATAAGTAAGAGTAATGAAAAACCTAAACATAACTGACTCACTATTCCTGGACTGCAGTCAGATAATTAGCTAATAATATTATCCCCTCTCAGTTTCAGTGTATACTGATATCAACGCTTGTGTGACACTCAGCAGATGTGCCGCACTTTGAACAACACGTCAGCGTCTGAAAGAGAATCCAGGTGACCTTCCTCTGTGTGTTCAGGCGTCAATTTTCTCACATGTGGCGACATCAGTCTCAACCTTTGAGCCGGAAAACGAGCCGACAGCTTCACAAACTCACCGTCAAAAAGACACATTTCTTATATTTTGTGCAAACAGACATTTCCTAGCATGCAATTTAAAACCCTTGATGCATATGCATAGACGTCTTGTATCACATTTTCTCTGGAGACTTTAGATAAAGATGACTTTTAGTAAGTAAAACATAATAACATTATTAGTTACATTTTAAACACAGAGTGTGCAAAACAGATGTTTATTAATCAAACATCTGTTCTGGTGTGGTTGACTTTTCATGAAATAAACCCTTAATTTTTATTACATTTTAATGTAACGTCAAATCCCTGAACTAACGCTCGCCTTTCAGTTATTAATAATAATAATAATAATAATAATAATAATAATAGCGCCTCACTTTAAAGTTTAAAAAAGAGAAACTGGGAGAGATATTAAGATATTATTAATTACTTACAAATAAACAATGGCTATTAAACCTACTATCTTACTACCTATTTATTTAACTTTAAATGTATCTTTAATGTGTATCCCATGTTCTCTCACATAATATAATCACAAATGTATTTAAATAAGAATAACATAATGAGTATTACTGTTTGTGTGTGTTATTGTATTTATAAGACTGATCTAACGTTAGATTTTGAATCACCTGATTTATTTGACTTTGTACTTATTGTACCAGTGAGATGATGAAGCAAAACTGAATACTGATCCCAGATCATTTAAAGTATTGCTAAGTAAATCTGTATTTAAATAAGATAACATAACGCAGTGTAACCTGTAGACCGTGTTCAGAGACAGCTCCCCCCTCGGGAAGCAGCTGCGAGACACTCTTCAGTCTGCAGCTCGCAGAGTGAGGGGGCGATAAATTGTAGTTTATTTCTGTCCCGCTCCACAGCGAGAGATTTAACAGCTCTGTCACAAAGTCTTTAAGTCAGAGCGATCGGAGCGAAGCTTTAGGGAGGCGTCTGAAACTTTAAACTGTGCAGAGAACAGCCAAACTGCGACCTTTGTGTGTCTTTATGAACTGTTTTTACTGACTGTGTCTTAACAGTCAGTAAAAACGTAACTGTGGCCAAAGAACAGAAGAGTAAAAAACATCCATAAAACATTTCACCGATCAGAATCAACTGTTATATCGCAAAATGATGTTTGATAATGATTCTACATTTATATGTGATACCTTCTTCTGAGTGTCTTTATGGCATTCACGTTTTGATTTGGTGTTTTTTGCTTTTAGCTGCTCTCTTTTTCTCTAAAGCGCTTGTCAACATTTTAATCAAAGTTGTTTATACATTACAATATAAAATGTAGTATTTACAAGTTTATTATTTCCATAATATTATTATATAAAATGTAGCATTTTTTGTCTGTTCTTTGTAAAAAAAAAATATATATATATAAAAAGGGATTTAGGAAATTCAAATAGTGGAAAATAACCAGTAGGTATAAAAGCCCACATTTTCAAATGTTCTTTTTACTTATACTGAATGCGTCTTAAGGCACGAAACTTGTTTTAATCAAATATCAGTTCAAGGAGATTGAGCCTTTTTTAGACTTGTGACTCATCTGATTGATCAAAAATGGATTGTCCGTATTGGCATCCAAGTCTTATCCTCAGGGAATAAAGCACATGTTCATTTGTGCTCAACAGTAATGAATGTGTAGATGTTTCTGAATACGAATAGTAGCTTTACCGCTGCATGATGTGTAAAACCGAAGATATTCTATAAGTCAAAAATAGCACATTTTAGATAGTAGGATATTTATTTGGCAAAATCTTTGGAATAAAAAAGAGCTTTAAGTTCCCATGATAATTTGTAAGAACTGTTTTTGTATTGATGCAATATTGGTGAGAGTTCAATCTGACTAAGGCTTCAGGAAAACATTTAAATCAAGACTATCTGAATGAAAATGTAACAGAATTTAGAAATATTTAGTCCAGAAGAGATTTTGAATGGGTCTTCAAAAGGTTATACAATAAACACAACCTGTCTTAGACTACAGACAACCTTAATCATCCCGATGCCACAAATATACGTTTAAATTAGGATATTTCAGCTTTCTTGAACAAGCTTTAAAATGTTTTATGTTATTCAAAGTTAAAGTTATGACAACAGTAAAGAAAGACCATCTTAAAATTCAGTTTCATGTTTTGGTCTTAAACTGAACGATAAGAAAGGAGAACACTAAATAATTAAACTGGGCCTCAGTGTGTTTCTGTCTCCTGTAGCTGAGCTGTATGTGTTTGTCTGTAACTCTGCACAGAGGCCGCTCTGACTCACTGATGAAATAAACAAGGAATTCAGTGGTGAACGACATGTCAGCAAATTCAATAACAGGAAGTGAATCATTTTTCCAAGGACGGACAGCTGGACACAAAACAGTACCCTCCATTTTTTTTCCGAGGCCTCCCTCTTTTTCTCACAAGACCGACATGTAGTGATTTGTAACTAAAATAACTATCTTTGGAAAAGCTTTGTTCACTAATAGTAAAGATACAAACACCAAATAAATCAACTAATTACAAAAAGGCAAGCATGACCTTCCTTTTTCTAACAGAGCGAGTCAATTCATCCCATTTAAGGTCGTTGTGGTAAAAATATATCTTAAATGGTAGTTTTTTTATGTGAAACATGTATTTCTCTTTAAAGTGAACTGAATCTAAAGACATGTGCTTATTTGGCTTCTATATGTTATTCATTAAATATAATGCGCTTATTAGGGCTGTCAGTCGATTAAAATAGTTAATCGCACATTCCTTATCTGTTCTAAATGTACCTTAGAAGAATATTTGTAATACTCTTATCAACATATGAGTCGACAAATATGCTTTATGCAAATGTTTGTTTATTATCATTGAAACAATGACAGATATTCTCCTGAATATTGTCAACACAACAACCTGGAACCTCTCTCTCTCTTACACTCTCTCCCAACCCTGTGTACTTATTTGCACTGAGCCAGTTGCTCAAACAAACAAGTTCAAAAGCCCGATGAGACGAAGTCCACTTGCGTCCAAAAGAATAATGCGCTGGATGGCAGTCGATCACGTGATTATCTATGGCAGGCCCAACACCAACTAACAACAACACGGTCAAGCCTTTACGGGCTCTGTAAACTAGGGCCGGGCCGAAGGCAAATACCAGGTTTCCCCCTACCATTTCTTGCGTTGCGCTGCGCCCTGCCAACGAGCCCGCCGCCCCGTTGCCTGAATTCAAGGGTTTTTTTTTTATTTAAAAAAAAAGAAAGATGATAAATATAGTAATAGCACCCAAATTAACAAATCAGAGAGAGATAGCCCAATTGCACTGAATATCTAGCTACCTCACGTTTACACATTGAACATGGTGACTTCTGTATTAAATAAACTTAAACGCGCTATGGTAATTTATTCCAGGTCAATGTGCAGGGCGTGTTCAGGTGTCCACTGCTTTGCCGTATTCACCACTCCCCCCCCCCCCACACACACACACACACGCGCGAATGCACACACTCACAATCAGAGACAAGAGCGGAGGAAAGGAGGAGACCAACAGCTCTGCTGTCTGCCCGTTTGTGTCCCCCCCAGTTTCAAATTCGCTTATTATTATTTTTTAACCGCAAGCCGTTATCGTCACGGGAGAAGGACACAAACAGCCTGCTCAGGTGGACGCGCGCGAACGCGACAACGAACGTAGCGTCCCTCCTCTAAAAATAGCTCACAGATGGTGAGCAGGTACCGCAGTTTTGAACTACAGTATTGAATTTGACAGAAAACAACAATGAAACGCCAGCAGAAGAATAGTCTAATGAGTTGGGTGAAAAAAAAGACAGGAGATGTGAGTTGGTTTATTCAGTAAATTAGCTCAGGATAATTGGATGTTCTGTCTACACCTGTTGATGTGAGGCTAATGCAGGGTTTGCTAGCTTGATGCTACCGGAATTTAGCGGCAGTGACTCAACAAATTGCCTCTTAAAATGTATCGTCAGCAATGTATGACAAGCAGACTGCTTGTTTAATATTAGACTCACACCAATAGCTCAATATGATCATAACACGATTGCTCTCATATCAGAGATCAGATGAGGTGGAGCTGCCTCCAGCAATAGAGGATGAGGCAGAGAGAAGCAGCAGCAGCACAGGGTTGCAGCAGGTATGTTATATGCTGTAGTCAGGTGATTTAAATGTATCAATGAAAGGAAGAAGTGTAGGCTACATGATAAGAAGGGAATACAGTTTGAATAAAAGTAATACAGTACAGTGTAACACTGTACTGTATTACTTTTTAATCTACAAATACTACTGTACGATATCAATAACAATAATCCACAGCTACTCTCTCTGCTCCAGAGGATAAAAAAAAATCCCTGTGTTGGGGGGGTACCCGAGCAGCACCCTGCCAAGGCAGTAAACCTAGGGGAAACACTGAATACACATGCGTTAATCGCACGTTAAAATAATTAGTGTCGTTACAAAAAAACGCGCGTTCACGCGTTAGCTTGACAGCGCTAGTGCTTATACATTTTTTATTAAGACAGGAAGCATTGTCATTCCCTCAAAGCAGACCATATCTGTCATTTCCTGAAAACCTGAGGACAGTGTATTTCGCCAGCTTCTGTGAAGAGTCTTAATGTTCAGTCCAGCGTGTTCAGACATGAGGTTGGTCTACATGTGTTCATCTGTCACATCTGTTCTCTAGCTCTCCATGAAGACCTGCTCAGACACGTTGGTTCCCCTAAACTGCTTTATTTTAATTAGCTGTCAATCAAGAGGGATTTACACACTTAAAGGTCAAATACTTGGATTTGGTTGTTTAAACTTTAACCTCATTAAAGGTGGATCCTTAACCCAGAAAAAGTTTATAATAATACTGGGTTCAAGTTGTTCTTAAGGAAACAGGAAATATAAATATGTCACCTTTAAATGGCCAAAGAACAGAAGAGTAAAAAACAGCGAGATAAAACATTTCACCGATCAGAATCAACTGTAATATCGCAAAATGCAAAATGATGTTTGATAATGATTCTACATTTATATGTGATACCTTCTTCCGAGTGTCTTTATGGCATTCAAGTTTTTATTTTTTAGCTGCTCTCTTTTTCACTAAAGTTCGTGTCAACATGTTAATCAAAGTGCTTTATACATTTGACTATATAAAATGTAGTATTTACACATTTATTATTTTTATTATCTCCAAAATATTAAATATTATTATATAAAACGTAGCTTTATTTTGTCAGTTATTTGTAAAAAAATATATATATATATATATATAAAAGGGATTTAGGAAATTCCAATAGTGGGAAATAACCAGTAGGTTTAAAAACCCCACATCTAATAGAGTGCAGCAGTGACGCGTCCTAAAACCCGGAAGTAAGTTAGCATTTTTACCACTTCCGGTTCCTTCGACAAAAAGCAATGCAATTTCTCCATAGGAAAATAAATCAGCAGTGACCCCGCTGGGGATTTTTGAAGAGTTTACGCATCTGAAAAACAATGGTTGTTACCAAGTGGCTGAATAGGAGTACAGAAGTTGTCGAGGCCATTTTAAGTCATTACACCGAACACGTAAACACTCCCGCTAAGTTTGTTTTTCCCCAGTTCTGCTTGAAAGCAAGTACCTGCCTCCTGCAAACTGTTAAAACTAATGCTTCAACTTGTACAATTTTGAATCTGTAGTTTTGAATATGGATCATAAGTTGGCGTGACCGCTTCAACTCGAACCATTTAGAATCTGTAGTTTTGAATATGGATCTTAAGTTGGCGTGACGTTGAAGCAGCGACCCTGCTGTAGTTCCTTTATAGCATAACGTTAGCATTTTGCTTCGGGCGATTAGATATATGATTAGAAAATTCTAAAAGTAGGGTAGACATGTGGAGATTATCCGGCTGAACAAAACGTGATCCGTCTCCTAAATGTGTTTCAACCACAGACCTTATTTCCAGCTATTTTCCAAAATCCTATGGAGAAATTGCATTGGTTTTTGTCGAGGGAACCAGAAGGAGTTTACTTCCGGGTTTTAGGACGCGTCACTGTGGCACTCTATATTTGTAACCCAAATGTTCAGAAGCGCGCTAATTCATCGTTAGTCTGTAAAAAAGGAAAATGTAAGTTATTTTCTTCTAATTGTCCCTCCTGAGACACCATCCTCCCCGTTTCCTCACCTTGACGCTCTCCACCTGCTCCTCCTCCTTCCACAGGTCCTGCTCGTAGTAGAACAGCCCGTCGTTGATGGCCTTGGCGAGGTCGGCGGTGAACTTGGCTCGGGACTCGTGGTTCCCCGTCCGGTCTCCTGCGGGGTGCTTGCGGACGTGCGGGGGCGTCTGGGTGACGATGAGGATCTTGTTGACGTCCTGGTCGTCCATCTCGTAGTCCGAGTCGTCCTCGTCTGACCAGTCGGTGAAACGGTTCTTCCTCGGCGCCATCTGCTCCATCTCCTCATCGAACAGGAAGTCCAGCTCCTCTTGGGCGGGCGCGGCCTGCGGAGGAACCTCTTGGCTGCATGGAGAAGCCTCGCTGCGCTCCTGGAAACACAGACAGAAACACAGAGTGATTAACAAAGGAACCGCAATAAACCAGATGGTTGGATGATGAAATTGAGAGTTAAATGTTTAACAAACAGTTTGATACTTTGAGGAAAAACATTTCAACAATTCAACTAGATTGGTGCAACTCTCACCACAATCTGAGTTTGTTTTATTCATTATACAAAAACTAACAAAAAAGAATGAGACTTATGTTCCAAGATTCTGAATCGATTTATAAAATAAAATAAAAATGCTTAAAAAATATATCTGGATAACAGGCCATATCACTTTTTATTTTTGATGTCACCTAAGTTGCAGGCCGAAAGACAAAAAAAAAAGACATGAACAGGAGGTACACAGAAAGACGATGCTATGAGAAACAGAAGAAGGGATGATGGAAGGGATGAAAAATGGATGATCATTCTGTACCTTTCCAGAGGGCTGTCGGTGGCGTTTCTCCACCTGGATCCAGGCGTCGGGGTCGGGCGGGGGGGCGTCTTTGTCGGGGGGGGACTCCTGGCTGGAGGAGCTGGGTTCAGCAGAGTCCTGAGACTCAGAGGACTCGGGAGGATTCATCTTCTCAGGCGATGAAGCTGAAAGGTCCAAACACATCACAGTCACACATCACACACCCAGACAACGTTCAGTCGAGCTTTGAAATCACACATCGCCCTGTCAGCTCACATTTAGCTACAGGAGGAGCTGAAGACTCAACACAGCACTGGATTCATGCTCATGCAAATTGGTCTTTAATCTCCTTGCAGCAGGGAGGACAAGATGAACATCTCGATTGTTTATGAAACTTTGTATTTAAAATGTAAAGCATCCGGTTATTTAAATAAACACACAGATGGCTAATATAGGAAGACATTACATTTTAAGATAGTGGTCTTATTTTGTCCGGCTCTAATGCTGCGTTCACACCGGACGCAATGCGAATATTCACTTCGCTCTAATCGCTCTTATCGCTCTAAATGCTCGAGTTTCACCGCCGCTGTCAGCTGTGTTTACTCGCATCATTCAAACAAGACGCGCTGGCCAGGGGGCTACAACCACAACAAAATGAAAATATTTTACCGTGATTACATTTTAATACACGTTTCTAAATGATGCCGAAGTAACAACATACTGATACCGGTTAGTGAAAACCATGAATTAATGCTTTGACAAGTCTTCAGACAAGACGGCAGGCGAATAACCTTTTAAAAATCGTGTTTTCTGAATGGAGGTCGGATCAATCAGGGTAAGCTAACGTTGTATATGCTCCGTCCGCACTCATAACAACGGCCTACAGACATAAATAAACCAGCGACTGTATTCACCATGACACAGACAGTCTGTGGTTTGTTCTTATTTAACTTCTGTCCAGTTTTTGAACAGATATGAGGAGCTGTGAGCTCTGTGTGCTAACTGCTAACAGCTAACAGCTAATGTTTTCTGATTGAACGTCAGTGACGGCAGGCTGAGATCCTCACCGCTGATTGGCTACCGCGAGACCGCGTCACGCGAATATGACGCTCCAGCGGTTGTCCATTGTGCATTGACTTTCATTTGGGCGCCCCCAAACATCCCATCGCGTCCGCTGTGAGCGCAGCATTAGAGTTGCTGCAGTTTTGCCAAATTTGTCTTATTGTTTCGCTGCTGTTTTTTATCAAGCAATGAATATTAATGTATATTGTGGGGACACAGTAGGAGATCTAAAATGCTTCCCTCAACATTTTTGAAGTATGTGAATAAATATTGCACCTATATTAAAAAGGTTGATAACCTCTCCTAAAACAGCTGGTCACTGTACTTTTTATCAAACAACGGGGAGGAAATAGTGCATTTGTTTGGGACTATTTTCAGCAGCGGATGAATCAACATCTGGTGCTCTAGTGAGTATTTGGGGATGCAGGAAGGTGTTTATGGGATTAAGTCAAAATGAATTCAGTGTGTTGTTCATGGTAATAAAGGAATGTGTCACCCATTGATGAAGTATAGCTCGTTGATGTGTTTAGACAACAATGGAGCTCAATTCCACAGAGGAGGAAGATATAAAGGGCACACAGTGGGTGTTTCTCAATGTCGAATAAAGCTGCTCCAGAGCCACTATTTCAAGCTGTTCCAATGTCCAGCATACTTGGAATTCTACCGAGCCCGGCGTACTTCGTTTGGAAAAATTTCGAAGCTGCAGACACAAAATCCCCACAATGCTTTGCGCACGGACCAATTTCCCCAAATCTGTGGCGGAAAATGTAAGGCGGGGCCTCTCATATGATGCACACCTGCACACTTGCTAGCCTGTTCCACTCATTGTTTTCCGAATGCCAGGAAGGATTCTTGCCTCGCTTCTGAAGCAAGACGCTCGGAAGACATGTGCTACCAAGCAAGCGTACTCGACATTGAGAAACACCCAGTACATGTTTGACTTCTCCTTCAATCACCATGGCCTTTGACCCCTAACCCATGGCCTCTGACCCCTAACCCATCACAGTCCCCCTGCTTCCACTCCTACTGCTATTTATTAAATGTTTTACTTTATTATTTGTTTGTTTGTTCACCATGTAAAGCGGCCTTGGGTAAGGCGCAATACAAATGTCATCTATTATTATTAATCTTCACTTGGTAAAAGAGAGAAGAAGAAGAGGAAGAAGAAGAAGAGTTGAATACTGACCGGAGTTGGTGGAGCTGAGGGTCTGACGGGGAACGAACTCTGGACAGTTGATGAGCTGGGAGAAGTCGGTGTGGGGGGATCCCACGATGGCGGGGGTCGGGATGGGCCAATGCTCCGGGTCGATTTTACAGCGAATCTTACCGTCCACAATCTCCACCTCTTTACTGCCCTTCAGCGCCTGGAGGGGAATTTATTAGATATGTTTGTTAGATTTATCAAAGACTGTTTCATAATTTAAAAAATCAGATTGTGGCAAGAAGCTCATTATTATTTCCTGAGCAACATATCATAATGACATCCACATCGGTTTGGTTTCTGGTTTGTTTTCCAAATTGTCAATAACAATAATACTTAAATGTCATATTAAGTCTTTTTTTGTTGACTTAATTAATTAACTTTTTCTGATTTACACTAGCTCCATTTCTAAGATCAACAAGGGCAAATATTTAAGACACAAAACAGGCAAACAAGGAAAGCGATTTAACATAATCGCAATTCTTTCATGCTTATTTTCTCCACAAATATTATTCTTTACCTAATTATGGTTTTAAACGTCAATTCAAAAGCAAATACAAAAAAAAAGACAGTTATCGTGAGATCTTTGTGTACTGAATACATTTACTCTGGAGCCAAACAGCAACTCCTCTGTGACTAGACTCAGGAAAGGTTTCATCCCACAGGCCATAAGAATGTTAAACACCTGAACTTTTGAAAGAACATACATAACATTCATCTATCATATATATCAATAACTGTATATAGACTATTCTGCACAGTTTCTATCATATTCTATTTTATTTCCCCTTACTATCTTTTCTGTTTTATTGTGTTGCACTGTGCCTGTGACCTAAGATTTTCATTGTCATAACTAGAGATGTCCCGATCCGATCACGTGATTTTCAAAAGATCGGGAGAAAAAAAATCGGGGGTCGGGATTTTTTTTTTAATTTATTTTTTTTAAATACTTTTTTTAAAATGTTGTATTCAATGTAAAAACAAAAATGACCATGTTCAAGTCTTAAAGTCATCCTGAGGCCTTAGTTTTGGTTTCAAATGACAGAACATCATGTATGTGTTGCTTCTTTGGGGCTTGTTTTCATAGACCTGGTTGCTTATTTCTCTCAAATCTGGCAACAGAGTGGGCAGGGCGCAGTGTCTAATTGTAGCAGTAAGCTAACGAGTACTGAAAGCTTTATTTTGTTTTGATCCAATGCTGCACAACTGAACTGATCCAATGCTGCTGTGAAAGAAAGAAGCTATATCCATGTTGGATAGAATATCCAATTTAAATAAAAAAAATAACCTTAAGGGACAACTTGAATGCTTTTTTTTCTCTTTTTTCTTCTTTAATTAGTCATTAGTCATAAAGAATCGGAGTCGGGTAAAAGTAACGGTAGTCGGCGAAATTAGTTCAAATACAAATAGATCGGAAGTCGGATACGGG